GCCATATTTCCTATTTTTGCAAGCCGCCCGTTTGATAGAGGCTGCCCTCAGCGCGGACTGACCGCTCTTGTTGTCTATTCTCGAATCGACGGGCGGGCAGCATTCCGCGGCTAGAAACGGCCGCCCGCAAAGGATAAGCCGCAGAATGGATCGCGCAACCGGATAACGGGAATGACGATTCCCCCCTTCTACCCCTCCCCCGTTCATGTTCACGCGCGCGATTCTCTCCAATAACAGAAAAGATCTTTCGAAAAGATAGCGTTACGCTTCGAACAAAGGTAAAAGTGCGAATCTCTGCGCGTCTTCCTTCTTCCTCCTTACAAAAATAAAATTGTGAGGTGAAAAAAAATGCAGGAATTTTTTCCGACGATTCCCTCTCGTTTCATTTGTCTACGTGACTACAGGTCTCGTCCGTTCCCCTAATTAATATTTGCCACGCGTTCCCCTACGTGATGGATGGGCGTGAGTAACGTTTTGGAGCCGACTCATCGCGGCGGAATGCAAAACGGAGCGGTCCATCGGTCCGCGGGAAAAGCGCGGGAACATATGGAGAGAGGGACCGCAATTAACACGGCTCGGCCGTGCAAATTCTCGAATTTGCACGGCCGGCGGACGCCAAGTTATTCCGTCGCGCGCGCGCCCACGAGCGACGAACGGGGTTTTCGCGTTCGCGCGACTTTTCTCGTCGACAGATATAGCTGCTCCGTTTCGAGTGGCGCACGGTGAACTAGCACGGTGTGAGGCCGGCTTTAGAACACCGGCGCCCGAAAGTTCGTGGCTGCCGGCCAAGAAGGCCCCTTTGGACGCCGGCCAAGGAATTCGCGTGCATTTTTCCATTCATAACCGCGAAATCTATATTTGGCCGCGGCATATCGCGCGAATTCGTGGCACGGCGGTTATTTTTAGGATGAACCCGAATGCGCTCGTTAACTTATTCGCCGGCCAATTGCCTTTCTCGGTCGACGCTCGGTAACCGCGCGTCTTACGTTTCGCGTATGTAACAAGACGAATAACACGGTATCTTTTTCCGCAGAATCAATTGTTTTGAAAAAAATTATACTCCTGCCAAGTATTATCGAGCAAAATGACGATCGTGATAATTATAATAGAATCGTTTGGATATATTTGTTCCGAGAAACGCGCCTCGAAACGCGTTTTAATTCCAAAAAAATTTTACGAAATGGCATTTTCAACCGTTGCAAGAACGATCGGCCGCGCGAGTTCGTGGATCAACGACGATAAATATCACGTCAAAGCTACATCCATAAAAGCTGCCATCCATCTCGTTGTATATTTGCCGTGTACCCAACGGCGCGTTTAAAAGAATCCCGTCGCTTTGATGCGCTGTCACGCACGTCGATATGAACAAAAGCGCGCGATTCGCCGCGACATGTATTTTCGCAATATGCAAAGCCGCGTTCGACGCGCATCTTGGCCGGTTTCCAAGGCATATCGGCCGTCGAAGCCTCGTCGGCTTATTTTTCTCGGCGTTCTTGAATGGCCGCGCGAAAAATAAACGCCCGCCGCCGTTCGTTCTCGCGGGTCAATGAATCGAAAACGCCGCAGAGCTCATCTGAATAACGATGATTCATCGCCAGCCGCTGACAGAGGAGAGACTGCAATATGCCTATCCGTTCGAGTTAATTATTAGTCGCCGTTCCTAGCGGAGGATTCGCGAAATCTCGAAGTGACGCTTTTGTAGTCGATTCTTTCAGTCGCGTGACGAAATTCGTGGAAATGTTTACAACGAAAGGAAATTGTTGCGAAAAATTGCGTAGTTGTACCGCAACTAGCGTTCATATCACGCGCGAAATTATCTTATCGGTTCGAAAACACCGTGTTATCAGGATGACTTCGTTCCGATGCGTAATCGTCGACGGATTTTATCACTACGAAATACAGTATCGATAAGATGTCACAAAGGTCGATAGAAACGATATCCACGCCGCTCGACGCGACTGCTCGCACGCACCTGTGGAAAAGATTCAATTATGAAATAACTGACGACGCTAGTTACGATCCTATAAATCTTGTAAATCAATTGCGAAACGACGAAAGACGACTTGTATTTATCGGTTTAACGATGAATCAAGCGATTAACGCGAGGCGGATTCGCAAAAGCCGAGTAATCGGGTTGTATAACTGCCGTCGTTACGCGAGTCATGTTAAAAAGGAGATTCAGAACCGAGAGATGGAAGTCTCTGAAACGCGCTCGAGAGCCCGGCCTGTGCCTGTCGCTCCGCCGGAACATTATTAATACAACTCGCTTACCTTGGCTCACCCATATCGATCACGCCGATAATCGATAAACACGCGCTTCGTATACCTACGCGCGCGCGCGCGCGCGATTGCGGCGTGCAAATCGCAAATTGCAAATCTTCGCCGCCAAATAGGAAAGACTGGTTGTCGGCTGGAGCGACGTCGGAGCTTGTGCCACTGTGACACGCTCGCATAAAGCTCATCGTCGAAGTTGCGCGTCGTCGCGGCTCTCCCTCGCAAGAATCCGGACCGATTGGAGACGGAATTAACGTTGCGCTCGTCGCTTTCTTATTTTTTAGCGAGCGACACGCACGTCGCGCGCGATAATAAGATGACGAGGCGTACGAAAGTTAAAATGGAATTTATTTTATTTCTGATGGGGCGTCGCCACAATGGGACTCCCGAGCGATAAACGCGATAAACAAGTTATTTTTAGCACACCGGGATCCGAGGATCACCCGCTTGAAAATATTAAACGGGTCTTCGGGCTCAATTGCGTTCTTTATGGATCCACCGATTCGATGCTCGTCGCGTCGAACCAGTCATTCCCAGCCGCCGAATCCCAGTCGTTTGAGATTAAGCAACACACACCGGCTTCCATTACGCGACTTTTATGAAACATCGCACCGCTTGAATGGGGGTCCCGCCGCGACGAAAAATTATTTTTAGTCCTCCCACGGGAAATCGCGTTGGGAGAGATTCGGGAGGACCTGACGCGAAACGTCACGTCGTTGTCGAGGCGACGAGTACGAGAGAGACTATTTCCGTAGAGATGCCCTCGACGCCGCATACAAAAATATTTCGTGGGACAGAAACGTCCCATTCGCGCCCATTTCGTGGCGGCATTCCATCGCCGTGCGCTGTTTCGTGGAGCCGCGTGTATATCACAGGCCACGTGTTTCCAACGCGTGTCATCGATTCTTTAATATGTCGGCGATCTATTCCGCGCGAAAAAAAGAAGTCGTACGAGCCAGCGTGAATCCCGGGCGATCGACGATTACGATGGAATTCGAAAATGTCGCTAGGAAGAGCCGCGTGTGGGATCAGGTGAATCATCGAGGAGTGTACGATCTATTTTCACTTCTTCCTCCGCCAAGTGTCAGATGACATAACGGCGTGGACGGTAAGACGCAAGACCGATTTTGAATGCTCTCTCTTTCTCCCGCGGTACGTGCGTACGCGTGCACGTGCACGTGCACGTGCACGTGCGAAAACGCGCGCGTGAAAAAATGTCCACACGCAGCTCTACCTACGGAATTACATATGTTTGCCGACTAAGATCAAGAAACGAAACAATTGTTCGTGGGCCATTCGATATATATATATATTCTTTATTTTATTTTATTTTGTAAATTCCGCAAATTTACTGCAAAAGTGTTTTGCAGTAAAACGTACATATTTCCGGCAATTGATTGATTGATTGAGCGTCTCGAGAGAATATACAGAAAATATACACTTTGCTTTTTACAAAATACCTTTTCCTTATTCGGCGCAATTAATTACGTCCGGAATTAATTGCCTTGTTTTTCAAGCGGTAGATACGCATTTCCGCAAAAACGTAATAAGATACATGAGAGGCATATCAAAGAGGAGATTAATCTTGCTCTCTTACGAGATGCCGAGATGTTTACCTGCCTTGCGAAATGTACCGTGCCGCGTAAGAATCGCCCCTGATCAGCCGATTTGGCAGAGCGCGGCACCGCTGTGCACACGTAGGCGTTTACATAACAATTTAGGTCGATCGTATGGATCGCGATACGGAACGTAGCTGAGCCCCGTAGCTGAGAAATTGCCAGAGGTGCCCGAAATGTCGTAGCTCTCTTGCCAGAGAGTTTCTTTCTCGCGCCGAAATTTGGCGTGATAGATATCTCGATCGTGTCCCAAGATGAACGTTTTTCGGAAAAAAAAAAAAAAGAGAAAGAGAGAAGGGAAGAGGAGAGAAAGCGCGATGAATCGATTCTTCTTTCTCTTCATTGCGATATTTTCACCGATAAAGCTCGCACTTCTCGGTATACCTTTTGTCTTTCGATATAATTGTTCTCCATGAAAATGATCTTTGAAAACAAATCGACTCGTTTATGTTATTACTGTTTCTATCATAATAATTCGCAATTATTTGCTGCGCTATAAAAGTGAGAGAATAAATGTGTCAGATAAAGCTCCGTGTTTTCCATGCACACCTCTGAGAGTGTGCCAGAAAAACGAGATAAGAATTATTTGAACGAGCAACAATCTCCGTTATCATGCCTCGTTTGCTATTTTTATCGTCTGGAGATATACCGAAGAGAAGCAAATCACGCTGAGTCTCTCGCTTGTGTCTCTTCACAGGTTATTCCCCGATCTTGCGATCGCAAAAATGAAAATTATTGCGAGAAATTTATTAGCATTCGATAAAATCTTGACATGTATACATTGTCACGAGCAGTGAATCTCCAAGATTTATTATCCCAAAATATTTGTCCGCGATTTTTTTAAGTGCCAACTCGAAGTCAGACAAGAAAATTATCGTTCAATATAGGAAATTGTCAAGTATCGTTTTAAAATATAACATAGGATATTATAATTGAATAACCAAAGTACTCTCGTCTCTTCTCGGAAAGAAATCGTTAAGGCATTCCGGGCAGTGAATATATTTATGTTCTTTGACATGCATACAATTTTGGATGCGGCCACACCTTCGCCAGTCGCTAGGCCCGCCTTCGCCATATAAATTCGTAATTCGAGTATTTGAAAACGCTTACCTTGATGTCGAGGTGAGCGACGTTCAGGGAATGCAGAAAGGCTATCCCGTCCAAAATCTGCTTCAGCAATCTGGCGACCTGCCGTTCCTCTGGAACTTCGTCCCGGTCAAGTATCATTTGTAACTCGCCGCCAGGAGCCCTGTCGCAATAAACATTACCTGTCTCCGTGCGACTTGCACAATATTTGCGTTTAGCATGCGTACTCTTTTGCGCGGCGAGTCGTTCCACAAATTTATTCAAATACGCTCGGCGAGGTGATTCAGCGCTACGTAATTTTTACGACCGATCGCAGCTGCACGCGAAGTTCGTACGCTTAAATCACAAGCGTACAGTTTTGTTCTACTTTTCAAATAATTAACAAAAAATATTACGACATGTAGAAAGTTACACCGCTACTACGTCATAGTCATAGTTCGGGTATCATTCATTCTTTTATTTCCTTCGTAAAAAGCGGATAATTTAAAAAAAACTATCTTTTGCCACCCGATTTCATTCCGCGCCAAGCTACACCGAGCTACAAAAGTGATTTTTTTTTTTTCTTCGATCGGAAGGATACGTTCAAGATGAGATCCGACTGAGAGTACGTCCGAGAGCGAGTGAGAAACGTCCTTGTACTTACAGCTCGAGGACGAGCACCATCTCGGTGTTGGTCTCGAAGACCTGGTGAAGGGATACGAGACGAGAACAATGGGCCGCGGCATCCAGCACGGCGACCTCGTGAAGCGCTTCCGCTCTGAGTTCCTGAGCCCGCCGTCGCTTCCTCAGAAACTTGGCGGCCCACTGCCTGCCGCTGGATCTCTCGCGGCATCTCCTCACCGTCGCGTATTTACCCCTGAGAAAGGAAAAATACATTGTACATTAATCATGCGGCGTATACTGCGAAGTTGAAACGCATCGATAAAGCGGGAAGAGTACACGCGCAAGAAGCGAGACATAAAATGATATAACGACAGCATTTGTAATTCAAGTTCGAAAGCCGTCAGAAAGAGAGAGAGAGAGAGAGAGAGAGAGAGAGAGAGAGAGAGAGAGAGAGAGAGAGAGAGAGAGAGAGAGAGAGAGAGAGAGAGAGTAGTAGTAGTAGTAGTACGTACGTAGAGTAGTTACGTAACGAGAAGTATACGAGAGAGAGATAGGAGAGAGAGAGAGAGAGAGAGCAGTCACGTAAGGGAAATTTTTGTAACTTGATCAGCTCGCGGCGCGCTATTTGCTCATTAAAACGTTAATTGCGAGAAGAGTAGAGACCACTCTATTCTCGCCGAGCGAATAATTAAGTTTCATAACTTTAGGCGTAATTCACGGCTTTATGGACGATTGACGTGCGTGTCCGACGCACCCATCGACGATTGCTGTAATTCGATTATCCCGACCGACCGACATCGCTAATAAAGACGTTAAGAAGAAGGAGGCAAGAGCAAATAATATAATATTCCACGAGGAAGTCATACACCCGCAAAACGATCGCTCGCTTTCACTTCTTCCGTTAATAACGCACTTCGTCCCTCCCTTATGCTTTCCTGATTACAGCGAACGCGGCACGCCGCGATCTTCATCGCGAAAAAGTCGCCTTTTTTGCCGCTCTAAAGTATTACGGTGGCTGCACATCCGTGATTTGCGTCGCGTAACACTACTAGGAAGAACAAAAAAAAAAAAAAAACAACGAGTAATATTCCACCGTAATACTTTAGTAAACTATAGGAACTTTCAATTCTTTTTTTTCCGTAAGTCGCTATCTACAAATCCAAATAGGACGACAAATTGCAATTGGGATCCGAGATTGATCCGTGAAATTGGACGATTCCAGCGTGGCGTAATATCGTAGCGGGATATCGCGATCGATATTGTGATATCGAGTCTCGCGAGTATTCGATTGCGAAACCTCACCACCAATTATGCGGACAGCGAGGATGTCCTACATACGAGGTGCATGCTATGTATATCCAGCACATATCTACAATGTGGAACACGACGGCCTGAATCATCGGGACGCTATAACGTGGACTATGGATTTTTAACGGAACGATATCTCTACGCGTAATAACATAAAACGACACGTAATAATACCGTTATCAGTCTCGCACGAGACTGGCGTAAGCCACGAGAGAGTTACGCGCGCAATTCGCGCAACTCGAAATTATTGTACTTAAGCACGGCCGTTAGATAATGGAGGCTTCTCGAGGCTTCCTTCGATCGTCCCAATTTCTCCGAGGACACGCGACGTCGCGGGACTTCGACTGCCGCGGCACAACCGCTGCGGAGATATAAAAAAAATCTGAGAAGCTCGCGGCCGAGGTGACGTTTTAACGAGCACCCAAGGAAAATTTTACTAATTTTACAAGGGGAATTTTACGATATTTTACAAGGAATGTACGAAACGCTATCCCACGCCGCGCGCGAACCCGCTGTAATCCGACGATCTAACAACCGCTAGAAAGTGAACTCGCTGGGGCAATGCATCTATATGCTCACGGGCCTAAATTCGAGCAGCCGTAGTGAAAGCACTTGTGCGTTTATTACGTAAAGAGCTTGCCGCTTGAGGAAATGCCGCGCGCATTCCTCGGGAACGGAGAGCTTTAGGCGGTCGACGGCAGTCAGGAACACGACGCCCATTTTCCTGCCTCCCGGATCGCGTTTCATTTCGTAAAACTGATGCGGCGTATATATGTATATATATCGCAGTCTTCAAATGCGGCACGATCACTCGTTCCCGTTCATGTCCGTGTCTTTTATTATATAATAAAAGCGCGCGCCAAGAGTCGCCAACGTGATATATCTAGATAGCAGCGACCGAGAGGGAAATCAATGCGCATGCAACGCAGAACGCTCGCGTGGGAAGCGTTGTTCGTCGACATTACGTCCAAAGATGGGAAAGTCCGTTTTGCCTGAGGACAGAAAAAAGAAAGAAGCGAGCGCGGGCTCTCGCGAGGAAAAATATTTTTCGGAGGTCCGCTAAAGGCGACGAATCTCTTCTATCGGTAAAAGATGGTCACCGACGATCGGGAGATAGATGGCACGAAAGGAGCGCTCGACAGGCGTCAAAGTAAGCATCATTAGTGGCCATTGTACCACCCGGCGGTATCCCACAGAGCACGATGATCGGGAATGGGATAGAAGTCGGAATGCCGCGTCAGTATTTCTCCTCTTATCCTCCTCGTGGCCATTTTATCCAGGCGACGCCGTCGCGCGCGTTGCGAAATTAATTATCAAAAAAAGCATTACGCGAAATATCATTCGTTAGAAAGTCGAGATGTCGGAGATGTCTAAACGTCTCTTGTATTTGTGCGGAAATATTTCATTGTTCTCCCGCCGCGAGTTTCGCAGGTGTAAAAAAAGGACGCAGGACGCACCTGGACGTGAATTGCGATCGCAGGTGAGAGCCGCTGATATAAGTATGTAGGTTGGCAAATGCGAACGCGACTGAGAGCGAATGATCGTGGGCGTTCTCTACTGGAGATCGAGTCGTTATCTACACTCTAATTACTGGTTGTTACGGAGGCAAACCTATTCAACGTGTCCTCCCGCTGGAGAAGACACGTGCCGCGAGGACACAGCCGGTTTTACGATCGTACCGATTACCGCGAGAGCGCGAGAGGAGCAGGTGCGGGTCAACGATCGTCTTGCAATTTCGAAAAATTGCCTCTCTGCTTAATTAACAATCTAATCTCTGACAGACGTCACCACCCCCCGCGAGCATTTTTCCATTCCGCGCGGCGACTTCTCCGACCTCTCCGAAGGAAGACGCGTTAATTTTTGCTGGCGGTGACTCGCGCGCATTCCCCGACGTAAGCGATTTAGCGAGTTAAGAGGAATGTAATTAGGCAGGATTTTTCAAAACAGAATAGTTGAAACACGAAATGATATCTGGACAGGTTGTCGCATTCCATCCATGAGGAAAGACCGCGGAGATCGTATCGATTTCATCGCCAGGCGAGCTCATCGAACTATCTATACCAGTTTTCACATCGTGGATATATACATATATATTTAACGAAGTTTTATATGATATATATGTACACACACACATACGCGCGCGCGCGCGCGTGCGTTTAATCGGGAAAACATGCTCGGGAATCGTTACATCCGGCGATCGTATCGCGTATTGCGACTCCTCGCACGTCGCGAGAAGTGTAATCACGATGACGTGAGGAGCGGAGTCGCTAAACTCCGCGCGAACGGGACGGCCTTGAGTCGTCCCATCAAAGCTCCCCTTCCTACCCCGGGGGAGAGGGGAGAGACGCGAGAGAGATTCGCTTCCGCGAAAGCCGTCGCATCAGCGAGTGATAAGCCGTGGCGAATCGGGATATCACATCGGCGATGGATAAGAAATTGTTCCGGGAAGAGAAGGAGCGCTCGCAATCTCCGCCGCCGTCTAATGGTCTCAACTGTAAATCCGGCATCGCAACAACATTGACAACAACGGCGACGGCGGTGGTTATTATTATTATCGCAATAGCGTCGCCTAATGGTCCGGTCGCACCTGGGGATTAGTACGTCGCGGCGAACGGGGCCCCCCCCGAGTAAAATCGTCGATTATTACGATCTCCGGTAATTCGTTCGCCGAAGAGACGCTTCTTCTCGCCGCCGCTCGCTCGACGAAGCGATCGGATCGAAACAGCGAAGGAAATCGTTGCAAACTCGCGAGAAACGATCGCCCGTCCCGATACGATTTTCTCGGCGGCGAAGCTGTTAATTGCCATTCGTCTCGCACACATCGTCGCGAGTCCGCCTCACCGCAACGCATTCGCTGTATATACTCGTATTTATTGCCAAGATTATTATAACGCATTAGTATTGAATTTATAACGCGAAACCCGTTTCTATGTGCAGGAATTCGAACGATTGCCACAGCTATTTGCCATCCGGTCTAACACGTACGCGCCGCGTCATTATTTCAGCTGTAAAATCCGTAATGAAACTCACGAAACGACTCCGAGCTTTCCTAACGAATCGACAGGTGTAATTCTTAAAATATAGCTTAGATCACCGTGTTTTTTTTTGTGCCGCGGACGCACGGGGACGCATCTGCGAGGCGGGGAATCGCGCGCGTGCTAATCTAACGAGTGGAAGTTGGTTGCATAAATTTTCGAGTTGCAGTTTGGCTCTTCCACCTGTCCTTAGCAGCTGCCGTCTGGTCACTAACCAGTGGATTTTGCGCTTACAAAATCCCTCTCTCGCAGGCGCGCAGGTGTCGGTCACGGAAATTTTAGATCGTATACCAGCGAGTCGCGCATAGTCGCGCTTTTATCAAAGACGATAAAAGAATACGAGGCTTACGTAAATTTTAATTCTTTGTAGTCCTTTTTAAGGAGCCTTCTTTCAGATGGAGAACGGAAAAGAATTGTCTTCTTTTCTCGCCTAAGTAAGAGAAGTATTAATTTTCAATTTTCATATTATTCCATTAGCGGATAATCAATCTAGATAGTCAAAGAACGGAAATCCGCATTCCAATAGCGCACAATCTAACATGGAAATTGAAAAACGATTTCCTCTTTTTTTGCGTGCCGCAGCACCGGTCTTGCGGAAACATCCTCGTCATCGCGATGCCTTCGCCGGCTTCGGAGTCGAGTGGAACGTAATGACGAGATCGGCGAAGATGAGACGCCGGTAATGAAGCCCTTTGTTGCCACGCATGGAGGCTCTCCATGACGACTTAGGCTTGAAGAGACTCGTGTTTCGCGAATGACTCGCGCGATATTGCCATTCCCTTAAAATTTCGAAACTCCTTTTCTAAAGCGACGAGCAAAAACGCCGTTATGAGTGATTGACAGGAAATCCTCTAGCCAGGCAGTATCAAAAGCAACAAATTCGAGAAATGATCGACCCGTAAAAGATTAC